TTTTTTTTTTTTTTTAATAGATGTCCAGGGTGCAAACTTCCTGTGATTCATTCATATTTATATATATACACACACATAGAGAACATGAAACAGTGGATGTTACCATACACACTATAAGGAGAGTGATCAGTTAAGGGGAGCTATTATCAGCAGGAGAGAAAAAGAACTGTTTGTAGTGGTAATGAAAATGGCCCATTTCCAGCAATTGACAAGGAGATGTGAGGAACTGTAAAGGGGGGGTGGAAAATAAGCATGGGGAAATAGTTTTACTTTGTGGGAGTGATAATAGCTCACCTTAACTGATCACTCTCCTTATAGTGTGTATGGTAACATCCACTGTTTCATGTTCTCTATGTGTGTGTATATATATAAATATGAATGAATCACAGGAAGTTTGCACCCTGGACATCTATTAAAAAAAAAAAAGATATTTTCCATGGGACTGTCATTATAACATTAAGTCTGAATGGGACTGAATCTTTACATAGGCTATAGTTTTAGCCATGTTTTAACGAGTTAATTGTCAACTAATCAAGTTAACATGATTGTGAATTAGAACTGGTTGGAAAAATTCAGATCAAATTTTTTCATCATAATTTGCCAGTTTATCTACACCAAAATATTTCATGGAGATGGTTCTGTTTTGACAAAGTTTCTGTCTGGAGCTTGCCTGGTTTCCTTCCAGCTTGTCTGTCTATCTCCTTGGCAGTCCAACTGGGAGCTCTCCTAGGGCCCTTGGCTCTGGGGCAGCCTGTCAGGCAGATTGCCTTGGAGTCAGGGACACCAGGGTTTCTGGGATGCCTGGCTCTCGGGTAATCCATCACGTTGACTGATTATGAAAGGAAATGGTGCCTTCATTCAGAGAGTATTTTGAAAATGTTGGTTTTCATTCTGAATTGGAACAAACCCAGCTTTGGAGGTATCAAAATCCTCCATGAAAAGGAATTGACTTTCTCTGCCCAGCTGTACTCTGAAGGCGAATCTAGATACTTCATAAGTGTGTGTGTCCTCAAACAACCATTTGTTGAGTGTTTAGATTTACCACTTGATATTGAGTACAATGCTCTCAATTAAACTTCAGTTACAACTCAGCTAAAAACTATAGACAAAACCATAAAGAGGCTTGTCTACCCTGTTTGTAGCAGTTTTAGAAATAGTTAAATTGGTATAAATAGTTGTGCGCAGACAACTTTTCTGTATCAAATATTTATTCAGGTATGAATGAAGTTGTTAACAGATAATAAAAAGACATACATTTAAGCTAAGAAAGAAATAAGACAATTAAAACTGTTTGATGGTGTTCTACTAGTTTGGAGGTAGCCAAAACTAGCCCAATTTTTTTTTATATAAGTTTACTTCTTCCCAAAAGGTGATGTGCCAAGATTTAAAATTCAGAAACAGCCCTCAGCACATATCAGTTTCTTTCTACAGAAGTGTAACTTTCTACAATTGTAAAAAAGTACATATAGTTACCAAAATTCAGCATGCTAATGCATGTCATTTAAATGGCAAATTCCTGCTACAATACTTCTACTTCGTCTAAACCATATCATTTATCTCCATATGCCTGAAGTGGTGTGGGATGCTGGAAGATGAGGCTACCCCATGGAAAAACTATAAAATATTTTGACTCTACCATAGAGTGCCAAACAGAATTCATTTATCATATTTTCTTGTATGCCAATATACGTCTTGGGATTGTCAAAAACTAGTAATACATTTTTGTGTACAAACTGTCACAGTACAAAACCAAATGGGGGACTTTGCACAAGATGGAGTGCTGTTAAGCACTACAGTCTCATATGCTTTGAAATGCAGCCCTATTACCTTAACACCTGACCCTGGAAGCTCTAGTCACATAGATGGTTTAATTTAATTAAACTTTCAGAATTTATATTACCCAGCTCTCCAGAGTATCTTCCACAACTAAAACAGAGCAAAATACATACCAAAATGTGTATAAGCTGATATTTTTAAATTTTGGCATCTAAATTTAGGAACCTAGTAACATGTAAACACCTAAATCAGGCTACTCTTTTATTTAAGAGATGCTGAATAGCCACAACTCCTACTGAAGTTAATGTGAGCTTTGCCCTAGTAAAGTCTGAGTAAGGTCCTCTTTATTTAGCAAGAAGCACTGATATTTTTTTTTTTTATACAGACAGAACTGGAAATCAGCTGAATTACCAATAGGCAGATGAAGTTCAAAACCCCTAAAATATCCCTTTGCTAAATCTAGACTAGACATCCAAAAAAAGAGATTACAAATGACAGAACAGAACCCAGCCTCTGAAAGTAGACTGCAACATACAGCACTTATTTCAGGATTACAAACCTTCCTAGAACTCTATAACTGCATATTCTGTGACACATGAAACATTCAGTGAGATAGCAACAACTGGAAGCAACATTAAAACCCAATTACAGTTCATTAAAGCCAGATGGCTCACTTGAATATGAAAAGAAATCCAAGTTGGATGCTGAATTAAAGTAAATTGGTTGGTGTTTGAGGTCTAAGGGGTCATTGTTTTTAAAATGAGGGGATAGGTGGAGAACAATGAGGTAGTGTATCTGGCCAGTGATAGGTGTCTGAGGGGGATGCTGTTAGTACAGGGGGAATGTACAGTCAGAGTCACGAAAGCAGTTGCACTGCTGAGAGGCAGATTCTTGGACATGGAAGTGGCATCATATGCAGAATCTATTTCTGCAAACCCAAGAAAAGAAATGAAGATACCAGACCTATCTTAGTTTCATTACTGCTTGATTCAGTGGTTCTCAAACTTTTTTTTCGTGGACCACTTGAAAATTGCTGAGGGTCTCTGCGGACCACTTAATGATCTTTCCAAATGTTGTTTGTACTGTTAACTAACTATTGTAAAGCACTTTGGATAAAAGCGCTATATATATATATAATAAAAAATTGTTTATTTGTTCTATAAATAAAAGCACACAACTCATATTTTAATATCAGTAGTCTTTCTAATGCAATGGATGTGCCCTCTCACCGCCGCCACGGCAGCCCCCTAGCTCGGGCTAGGAAGGAGGGGTCTCTCCCCCCCGCAGCAGCCACAGAACTAAGGCTAGGAAGGAGGGCCGTCTCTCCCCAGCAGCTGCAGCCCTGGAGCTGGGGAAAGTTGCCTCTTTGGGATGTGCAGGGTTGCGGCGGTCAAATTCCCCCCACTTCCTCTTTTCATTCCACTGCCCCCTCCCACCTACCCCCATTCACCCCCAGGCCACCACCTTACCTTACGTGCGTCTTCTCCAGGGTCCCGACACCTAATTAGTGGAGCCACACCTGCGCGGCTCCACTAATTAGGTGGATGGCCTTTCATTCTCTTGTGTGTGGCCACCCAGGTGCACACCTTAGAAGGAACTATCTGCGGACCACCTGAATGGCGCTCGCAGACCAATGGTGGTCCACGGACCGCAGTTTGAGAACCTCTGGCTTAATTAACTTGTTAGAGATTCTTCTGCTTCTGGAAAACACCCCGTCCGTCCCCACCCTCCAAATAATGATGGTCTGCAGTGCCTCAGAAATTCAGATTCAGATTGATCACCCAGATAGAGGCCCTCATTAAAAGAATAAATCAAAATCTGAACGGTCTAAAACTAGGATCTTGGCTACACATCTGACAATGTCCACTTGTGGCTGTAGAGGAAAAGTGAAGCTGTTGGGTTCTTCAGAGCCTAGGTCTATACTCCCTGCCAGCAAAGGATAGGGTTGTTCTGCCACCACAGCAGAACACAAGGTCACCATAGGACCTGTGGACCCTGCCTTGCTGAAGAACGGTGAAAGAGTGTCCATATAAAGCTACTGCCCCCTTACACTAACAGTGTTTCCTCTGAATGAAAGGGCTCTGCTAACTAGTAAGGTTTTTTTTTGGTGGCAAAAACATAAGCACTTAAGTTTAACAAAACTTATTTTGTTTAAAAGTAGTTTTTGTAGCAGAGGTTCTTACTTTCTTGTCTACACTGGCACTTTACAGTGCTGCAACTTTCTCACTCAGGAGTGTGAAAAAAACACCCCCCCTGAGCGGAGCAAGTTTCAGCACTGTAAAGCACCAGTGTAGACAATGCACCAGCGCTGGTAGAGCGAGCTACACCCCTCGTAGAGGTGGGTTTTTTAAGAGCGACTACATAAGCCATGTTAAAGCACTGCTGTGGCAGTTGCCAGTGTAGACTAGCCCTAAGATTCCTGCAGATGGGTTGAGAACTGTGCTTTTTGTTTGCCTTCATGTTAGTTCCATCATTTTGCAGTGTGTATTAGGGCGTATTTAGTTGGCAGTCCTGTGCAACAGACTTTACTGGACTATTGTGCTTATCTACTGAAAATTCTTGTGTAGAGAAGAGCAATCAGGAAAGATAATGTACAAAATTAGATATGGAGAGAAGAACAGACAACAGCTGGAACTGTTTGCTTGGGGGTTTTTGTTATAAACCGAGAACAGTTACTAGTGGCAAAGTTTATTCAAACATTTAAATCTTTGTCCTTTGCACTGGTCACTATAAGCCAAAAAAGTGTACCAGACCTAGTTCTGCTTACAGCAGAACTTTGCTCCTTAGTTCTGTTCTGTATTCCCCTCTATAGAGAGAAGACCCTGTTTGCTCCCCAGAAGTACCATAGCCTCATTAACTATCACTGGTGAAACCACACCTCAACCTTCCAGCTCAGAAATCTTGACAGTCACCCATTAAAATAAAAGGTTGAGGACCAGAAATTCAAGAAATATGTTACCAGGAAAGCAGGACATTCACTCGGAGTTGCACTGTTACCTATTTTCTGCTTGTTAAATCCATGCCTTTACAAAAAACAAGGGCAGACTGAAGAGATATAGGAATACACTTTATCATATTAAACAGAATTCCAGCCCCTGCAAGAAGTAGTAATCCTGAAATCCACAGAAACCAGAAGACAGCATTTGAGATGCAGTCTAGTCATTCAAAAGTGTTTCTGAACCAACCACATTTTTCTATGTCCCACATCCTTAACTGCTTACTCCACTGATATGCTACGCATATCTCCTTCCCCTCCCCCATTAAAATAAATCTTTATTGCAAAATCAAAACAAACACCATACAACAGTGAATGGAAGAAGCATTAAGCTTGTTTGCATAGAGTATTTAAAGGTGATGAATCAGCTTGGCTCTACATTGGACTCTCACTATATCGAGTATTACATTGAACTCATGCACTGCTATGAGAAATCAAATCTACAGGCACTAATGCAACAGAGCAAATAGAAAAGTTCACATAGAATTATCAGAGAATTTTTGCCATTGAAAAATGAGGAAGCAGGACTCTAGGTGGTCTCCCACAAAGTAGCATAGTGGACATTACAATGAACTGTAAATGACCTCTTTTACTCAAGTTCATCCCCGTCTCTGAAAAGCCAGATATAGAAATAGTATCCCTGTTGCCTCTCTCTCTCTCTCTCTCTGAAAACCCTTCACATAAGGTTAGATGTTTGAAGTGTCCTTCACCAGTGTTAAACTAGTAGTTCAAATATTCAATTCCTCCCACAGTCTCAGAAGAGGTATACTATGTCCACCTCTACACAGGGAACTAAACCCAGATCTGCTAGCATAACATCAGATATAAAGATAGCTAGAGCATAGACCACAGAGTTTGTATTCAGCATACATTGCCATGGGCCATGTCTATATCACTGAAGTACATCATGCAGAGAATACCTATCTCAGTACTTGCAGGTCCAACTCAATCCAAGTGACCCTGAGACTTATGGCAAGTAACCAGCTCAACTTTTAACTAATCTTTTGACAATCCTCCTGTACTAGCACAACTGAACTCTATCATGCACAAGTAACAGAGATGGCCTGTTTTATTATGAGAAGAGAAACACTGTGGGCCTCAGTGAGAAGGTTGGCACTTAACATAAAAGGATTTGTATACAGCAAACTACTGAGCACAACACATTTGTTATCAATATACAAGCAGATCCAAGCTGGTTGTAAATGCAGCTGAATAGGGCCTTCAACCCAAGGGATCAATGGATACACAGGTATAAACTAGCCAGGCCTACAGAAGGAGGAATGGGTGAGTGCCTAAAGAGAAAAAGCCTCCTCCCAGACCGATTGAGGGTCTCTGCTATCCCTGTCACTGCTGAGAAGGGATCTAAAAAAGGACCAGAGAATAGTGTCCGACATGCAGTGATCTCTCACCTCACCCAGGAAGACTCCTTTGTTTAAACATTTCCGTTCTACAAGTGATTCCTCTGCCTCCTCCAAACTTCTTTAAATTTTGAGAAAATGGCTAAAGAGACATCAGCAGGGGTTTAGCCTCTGAAATATATAAAGTAAGTAGTAATTCAAGAATTCCAAAACCCTCATGAACGGACATTTGTTTTACAAGGAATTGGTCTGGTATTCAGGGATGGAAATTCCTGAAAAGAGGGATAATTGTATGAAAATGACATCAGCACAGGCAGCCTAGGAAGGAGCCCCTGCACACAAGAATGTTGTCTCTGATAAACACAAACCTTTCCCCAATGCACTTCTGGGGAAATTCACAGAAGTAGGGAAGAAAAAAGGCAGTGATCTTGTTTGGTGAATGGGACCAGCCATAATAATTAGCAGTAATTAAAAGCTTACACTATATAGCACAATTCTTTTCATCCAGAAGATTCCAGAGTCCTTCATAAACTATACTTGTAAAACCACCACTGAAATGCAGCCACTTCTGGTCTGAAGAATAGCCAGCCAGCACACAGCGTGCTGCACAGCTACAGATCAGGCATTCATACTATGGTACTGACTATTGCTATAAAAACGGAGGTTCAGACCAAAGATAAGATGGCACCAGGCAAATACCCCTATTTATGGCAAGTTCTGAGGGATCATTAGTGAATACACTAACCCCTTCCCCCCAAAAACTATATGGAATTCAATATTTACCTGTAGTTTAGTTAAATAATAAACTGAACCAGTTAACTATTTATATACATTTCAATATTAAGTTCTTGGGATAAGGAACTTGTCCTTATGCCAGGAGAAATATTGCACGCTGCTGCTATTATACAAACAAAAATAATCTCAGAAGGATGAAGGACTCTGGCCACAACTTTTTTGTACTATAAGTGTTTCCAGTGAAAATGAAATTTTCACCAGGACAGTTGCCATCCATGAAAGCCTTTTAGACACAAAACGGACATGTGTTTTTGTCCTTATCTAAAGCTAAGGCTCCTGATTATAGCTACTCACATTTTATGGAAAAAAATTCAGAATCTATTTAAAAAACAACACTGCTGATACAGCATGTATGGCGTTCATCATCTTCCTTCATTCTGATACATACACAAATACTGTTTTTTTCCCCCCCACTAGGAGTCCAGTTGCTTCTGCTATTTATACCTTTCCTACCTGAACTCATGATCCTTAATCTGTGACTTGTCGAACTGGCACAAGTCAAGAATAAACGTAAAATTTAAACTCATGTAAAAGTTATCTAGCTAAGCCTCACAATCCACATGTTAAGCAGATTATGAGGCCATTCTTACAGACTGGGTACCGAGGTAAGGAGTATATAAAGTGATTTACTCCAAACCATTCAACAAGCCATTCATCAGGCTATGCAGGTGAATGAAAACTGACACAGGGATGGATTTAAGTTGCAGGCATCAACTTTATTAGCTTAAACAGTGGGAACGGACACTAAACGCCCCACTTCCCACATACCAGGCATTTAAGTGGGTCCACTGCAGTGGTAACAAGAGTCCCATCATATAACCCATAACTGTCCTAAGCCCACCTCTAGGGCTCAGCTCACTTTTGAATCCTCTTTCCCCTTCGCCCCACCCACCACCACAAGTGATTTCCAACTCAAGAAGATATTCTTGCATTAGCTCTGGTTGAGCTAGCATGGTAAAAGAGAATGTAGCTATGGCGGGGCGAACTGTCAGAGGGGCTAGTGGCCCTGAGTGCACACACATCTGAGACCCTATGCATATGGCTAGTCTGCCTAGGGTGGCTAGTCACTTGGGGCTACACTCTATTTTTAGCATGCTAGCTTGATTAGGCCTAGTGCAAGTACATCTTGAGTTAGGAATCACACTATCTGCTGGAAATGTAGACATACCCACAGGCGAAGTCCACCAGCGAAATCCCAGGTCTCATTATGTTGCAAGGAAAATGGAAAAACAAAAACAAAAACAAAAAATGCACCATGTCTGCCGATTTGGCCCCAACAGGACAAAACAACAACATTCCTTCCTGACCCCCAAAACAGGCCAGACCCACAACATTCTAAAAATACAGCTCCTGTACTACAACTACAGGGAAGCTAAAGAGGAGCAAGAGGCTCAGGCAGAGGTTTAAATTAATGATGGGGGGAGCCAGGGGCCAATCCACTCCTGGCTCCCCATCTGGAGTTGGAGGAGGAACTCCAAGGCATGCACTCCCTCATCTTCTTACTGGGCTGCCCTTCTCGGAGCTGCTCGGAACAATCTTCCCACCCAGTGAGAGGGAGGGGAGAAGGATGGCGATGGCAGTATTAAAGCCAGGATTAGAATAAAGGAGTTCCTCACTCTCAGACTTGTGCACACTAGACCATGCTTCCTCTTCTATTACTTCAGTTACTGACTGAAATTTGAGAACCAATGAACAATACACATAAACAGGGTACCCAAAAAGCCTTCTCGTATTTCATACTTGTTTCTCCAAGCAGAAATTATATTCTTCAGAAAAATACATTCAAGGGAAGTGCTGGCCAAATAACTGATGTTTAAGAAATGTGTTGAAATTTAAATCATAAAATTACTTGTATCCTGCCATCTGGGAAAAGCAATTCTCTAGTTGTTTCTGTAGATGAGCTGCAAGTGATTGCCTGGTTGGTACAAGAGACAGAGTTAGAAGGTTTTTTTAAGCAGTCTAACCCCTGCTCTATCCAGCTAGCTACTACAGCAGAAAGGGCTACGAAGTGCACTTTTGTGGGATTGTTTGGCAGACATATAGAAACCATAAAGAGCAGATTTAATCAGTTCTATATCCAATGAAGTCTTATTACCTACATTACCGCATGATTCCAAGCAACTGCATAAAGGATAATACATTAATGCTTCTTTAAAAAACAAACAAACAAACAAAAAGTAAGAGAATTTGCTTTTGGATCAAAGTGCCAGCTTGATAGTCCTAAAAACGTATGTCTTCTATGCGAAGAAAAGAATAGGCAAGTTTCTTCACAGCATCCCATCAATATGCATCATGTTGTGAAAAGGCCACCTGTAAGGGCAAAAAACTAATCCAGTCTCCCTCCCTCACTGAATCCTTGATGTCTAATGAGATTCCCCAGTTAGTATCAACTGTGGTGCCTGTGATATGGACTACTGTCCAATTTAAACTGGATTAAGATCCCTATCATAGGCCATTGAAATTAGCATCAGAGTTAAGAAACTTTGGTTGCTGTCAGCACAAACTAGAAATGAACAGCTCCAATTACACTACAGCACCCTGAAGTATCCATTTCCTTCACTTCTACATATCAAGTGCATGCTTGGACTAAACCTAAAACTTATTTAAATGGTTGCTGCAATCAATTTGGCTCTTCACCCTGGAAATGCAAAAGCAGAGGAGGTACAACTAAAAGGCAACTTGAGGCCAAAGGTGTGACCTCAGCTGGGCCGGTGCAACCACTAGGGGAACTAGGCAGCCACCTAGGGCTGCAAGTGCTTGAGGGCACCCCGGACCATCCTCAGGCATAGGCAGCTGGGTAGGGCACCTGAAAATTTGGGGCACCACTGGGTCTTAGTGTCCACCCAACTGGTTTTCCTATCCCTGTTCTGACCCTTCCTGCAGGCTCTGAGGCCTGGTCTGCACTAGGAGGTTATGTCGAATTTAGCAGCGTTAATTCGAATTAACCCTGCACCCGTCCACACAACAAAGCTATTTATTTCGACATAGAGGTCTCTTTAAATCGATTTCTGTACTCCTCCCCGACAAGGGGAGTAGCGCTAAATTCGACATGGCCATGTCGAATTACGGTTAGTGTGGACAGAATTCGACGCTAATAACTCCGGGAGCTATCCCACAGTGCACCACTCTGACGCTCTGGACAGCAGTCAGAGCTCGGATGCTCTGACCAGCCACACAGGAAAAGCCCCAGGAAAATTTGAATTCCCTTTCCTGTCTGGCCAGTTTGAATCTCATTTCCTGTTTGGACATCATGGCGAGCTCAGCAGCACTGGCAACGATGCAGAGCTCTCCAGCAGAGGAGACCATGCAATCGCTGAATAGAAAGAGGGCCCCAGCATCGATTGATTGGGAAGTCTTGGATCTGATCGCTGTGTGGGGCGATGAGTCTGTGCTTTCGGAGCTGCGATCGAAAAGACAGAATGCGAAGATCTACGAGAAGATCTCAAAAGCCATGACGGAGAGAGGATACAGCCGGGATGCAACGCAGTGCCGCTTGAAAATCAAGGAGCTGACACAAGCGTACCAGAAGACCAAAGAGTCAAACGGACGCTCCGGATCCCAGCCCCAGACATGCCGTTTCTACGAGGCACTGCATTCCATTCTAGGTGCGGCCGCCACCACTACCCCACCACTGTCCGTGGACTCTGACAATGGGGTATTGTCGACGGCCACTTCCTCGGAGCTGTTCGCGGATGGGGAAGATGAGGAGGACGAGGCAGTCGACAGAGCTTACAACGCTGATTTCCCCAACAGCCAGGATCTCTTCATCACCCTCTGGAGATCCCCTACCAACCCTCCCAAGGCGGTAACCCGAACCGTGAATCAGGGGAAACATCAGTAGGTAAGTGTTGTAAACATTTATTTTGAATAGAATAGGCATGGTATGTTAGCAATGGGTTTTTAATGATTAGTTTGCCCTAGGCGCTTAACTTTTTAGTCCTTGCCAGTGCAGCTACTGGAAAAGTCTGTTAACATGTCTGGGGATAGAGTAGAAATCCTCCAAGGACATCTCCACGAAGCTCTCCTGGAGGTAATGTGAAAGCCTTTGCATCAGGTTCCTGGGGAGAGCGGCCTTATTGCCTCCTCCATGGTAGGAAACTTTTCCGTGCCAGGCTAGCAGCAGGTACTCCAGGATCATTGCCTGGCAAAGCATGGCAGCATATGGCCCTGGTGTTTGCTGGCATTCACGCAGCATGCGGTCTTTCTCTGCCTCCGTAATCCTCATCAGCGTGATATCACTCATGGTGACCTGCTTTGAATTAGGGGAATTTTAGTATGGGGACTGATTGCCTGTTCCTTTAAATAACTGTAACCGGTGGTTTACAGCCACGCGGTGGGGGCAGGGAAGCGAACCGTTCATGCTGAGCAGTTCGCTG